AATTTTGAGGGGATGTTTTCTGACAGTTCTGGCGGCCAGTCTGAAATTCTTTCAGCTAGAAGCATCGGCCGAAAAAACCGTGCCCGGTAGCAACAAAAACTGCGGGGAATTCTGCAAAAAACGCATCTTCGCACGGGCAGCCCGTGCGTTGACCATTTTTTTTTACATTTTCCTAGTGAAAAAGTATTATGGCGAAGTCAAATCCGTATGCAGCTGCATTCGTTTTGCTCATTTTTTAAGGCTTATGCATCGTTTTTTGTCTTTGTTGCGTTTTTTTTATTTTGAAAACAATGAATTGTTTGAATTTCTTCATTTTTTATTTTGATTAAAATCGATATTTTCAGGATGGTGTGTACAGTGAATTTTCGAAATTTTTGGGAAATATTCCGGCGAAATATTGGATAAGCATCGATGAATCGGTGCAGAACAATTTACTGAAAGCGTTGTGGAATTTAACGGTGTGTTTTTTAATCAGCACATTTTAATATTATAAATATCAAGATTGCCCGAGCAGTGAATTATATGAGGATTTGATATCAGTGATGTTACTGGGATGCTTCCACACGGCAAGTTTTTCGATCCTGAACTTCATTCTCCGAGTTACTACACACTATCTCTTTGATGGATGTGTACCTTTCTGCAAAATTTAAATATTTTATGGTTATAAAAAAGGTAACTAAAAAGTGAAATAATGAAAAATAAAAAAAAAGTCGAGTAAGCGATCATTTGAAATGCAAACTTTTTTTTTGAGATTTTGGAGCAAGTTATATATAAGTGATTGATTTTTCGTTATAAAGAAAATTAGCCACTCGAAAGATCTGTCACGAAAGTGAGCCAAGCACTTTCGTGATCAGTTGTGGAACATGCCGCTCAGTTTCGGTCGGCTGTTGCTACCTGCTTGCCTAGTAGCTATGCACACTATAAAAGCCGTTTCCCCTACTGGGCATTATTGTTGTTCTTGTTACCCCGTGCTTCGGGGTTATTTTCCGCCGTTCTACCGTAAATCAGTACAACGCGGTGCCTGCTGCGCAGTTTCGCCCGTCAACAGAAAAAGTGTGGTTATTGAACCTAGGTACCGCGTATGTCAGTAGATCGAAATACCCCTGGAAGGTGTCGGGCCAGACTAGATTAGGACAAGTTTTATTATACAAGATACTAGTTACAGGCGCACGAGCGTAGGATTAAGTAAATCACAGACGAAACGAAGTAGAGCACAGACGAAGCGAAGCGTGTCAGCCGGCACTGTCGTAAACAGGTGAACGCGGGCAACCGATCCTCGAGTTTATATACCGCTCTTCCTGCAAGTAATATCACGAGTCACAGTCTTGGACAGCGGGGACTGAGAATGTTCCGCATGGGAATGAAGGACGGGATTTGACCATTGTAGATCATACCTACGCAGCGGAAAGAGAGGTGGTCTGAGAACGAGGGAATCGGTCTCCTGTCGAACATCCGATCTCCGCTGGGAACGTCGATTCCCGACGTCCCGGTGGAATGTTATCGAAAGATGACACATCATTTTCTTTATTTTATTTTTAGGGTTTTATCATTTGGGATGGGGGGTAGGGGAGCAAGGCGAGGAATTCGCCTTTACATAACAATCAGTAGGACAATCGCCCAATACATCTATCACGAAGCACCGTATACAACTCAGCCGACCTTCGCGCTCCAAACTCAAACAACTCGGGCAATCTTTGTCATAGGATCACTGAAAAGTTGACGATTGCAACTTAAGATAGGACAACTTGGCAGTCTTCGTGCCATATTTAGATGGATTTTAATAACAGTACTCATTTCCAGATACTTTAGTGGATTTTGCGGTAAAATATCTGAAATTAGCGCTGTCAGCATAGGCAGATCCAGAGGGGAGGAGAGGGGCAAAGGGTTTTTCGCGGATCGAAAGCTAAAACTAAAATTTAAAGTAACCCTATTCCTAGTTTTGCATGGTCAGAAGAGATTCCATGGTGAGAAAAGACTCTACCCTCCCCCCTCCCCCTCACTCCGTCTAGGAATCCCACTCTCTCCAAT